TTCCATATAGTTTTTTTGTTATTGATTTCATTTAGTTCTGCTCTGATCTTTGTCATTTCTTTTCTTCTGCTGGGTTTGGGGTTGGTTTGCTCATCCTTTTCCAGTTCTTTGAGATGGTTCATTAGATTGTTGATTTCTGATCTTTCTGTCTTTTGGATGTAGGCATTTACATCTATAAATTTTCCTCTCAGGACTGCTTTAGCTGTGTCCCACAGATTTTGATAACTTGTGTCTGATTTATAATTCAATTCAAAGAATCTTCTGATTTCCATCTTTATTCCTCCTTAACATAATAATCATTCAGCAGAAGGTTGTTTAGTTTCCATGATTTTGTGTAGAGATGAGAGATTCTGTTGGAATTGATTTCCAATTTCATTCCACTGTGGTCTGAGAAGATGCATGGCATAATTTCTATTTTTTTAAAATTTGTTGAGACATGCTTTGTCGCCTAGGATACGGTTAATCTTAGAGAATGTCCCATGAGCTGATGAGAAAAACGTATATTCAGTGGGTTTTGAGTAGAATGTTCTGTAAATGTCACTCAGATCCATTTGTTCTGGAGTCCTATTTAAGTCCAATGTTTCTTTGTTTATTTTCTGTTTGGAGGATCTGTCCTGTTCTGTCAGAGGGGTGTTGAAGTCCCTGGCTATTATGGTGTTGCCGTTTATTATTTTGTTTATATCAAGTAGGATTTGCTTTATGAATCTGGGTGCACCTGAGTTAGGTGCATAAATATTTAGAATTGTTATGTCTTCTTGTTGAATTGTACCCCCTTCATCATTATATAGTGATGGTCTTTCGTCTTTCATTACTTTTGTTGAAGACTAAGTTATCTGAAACCAGAACTGGTACGCCAGCTTTCTTTTGGCTTCCCTTTGCATGAAATATTGTTTTCCATCCCTTCACCTTGAGTCTGAATGCATTTCTGTGGGTAAGATGTGTTTTCTGAAACAGCAGATACTTGGCTTGTGTATATCTATCCATTCGGCCAGCCTGTGTCTCTTTAGTGGGCAGTTCAAGCCATTCATATTTA